CTATTCACCTGGGAAGCAGGGGTTTCGTGACTGCTTGAACTTTCTCTGCATCCCTGACGGCAAGAGGCTAGAGCGCAGAGAAAAACACCCCGGGTGAAGTCTACGGCGGTGGAGGCCATCGATGACAAGCACGCTCCACAGAGAATCGCACGCTCGATAAGAACTGATCGTCTTCGGAGGTTTCAAATATGTAAAAGATGCCATCTGAGAATATGGCTAATGTTCTATGTCTTCCTAATGAGCTTCTGATGCAAATACTATGTAATTCTAAACCTCGTGATGTCAGATCCTTCGGGAATACGTGCAGGCGGTTCAGGTTTGCATTTTGCCTTTTGCACAGCATTTACATCCTTATTAAAGCTATGTATTTTGTTGGCGACTGTGTAATTGCGTTTATTTGGGAAGATATAACTACAATTTCTCCAAAAAATCGTTTATTGGGTTTCTATCAAACATAGAATGCTCACGTACCTGGTCCTTAAATATGAATCACCTTGAAAAGCAGATAATTACCCTTCAAGATGAAAGGTTGCAGAGTTGCCAGCCAAATCAAAGAAGTTCCTGTTGAATAGATTGCATACTTTGACGTCAATTTTCAGAAGCTTCATACTTTCTAATAAATCGAAATTGCCTAAACCTGAATTGAAATGGGATATAGCAGAACTAATATTTGGCAGAAGAATAACACTTTTCCGATGTCGACCGTCTGTATTCCAACGTGCTCGAAAACGAGCTCTTGAGAAAATGGAGAAATGGGAATTCACGGTGAGCAGGTATTTTACTATAGTATTTATGCAGGTCATAATTAGCAACTTTATAGGAAAAACAATTCTCAACAGAGTTTACGAATTATTTCTTCGTGATGGTTCCAGAAGAGATGTACATAAAATGCAAAGATTTTGATAGTGATAAAGAAGCTCTCATCAGAAAATGTGTTGGACCTCTACAAAGCAGTGTACTCGCTTTGGAAATGGACAAATGTTCGGTACGAATTGAGTTTATCTTTCTTCTTTCTCCGATGTTTTTCTTTTTACAGTTAGATGAATCTGGTTTGGGCGATTTCCTCAAGCATTTGTCACCGTTCGGTTTGCATTTGGCCGGTCATTTCGATAGGAGTATTATATCTGATCAGGTATTTCTATAAGTTAATGATAACCACATTTCTGCTGCCAATCGTTACTTCTGCCTCTTTTTGACTCAAATTCGATGTTATCATAAAGGTCGACCGCTAAACTTAGCCGGTTGTCAAGCACGTGTTGGGGACACACCTCTCATTTGCCCTTACTGAACGCTTAGAACGTACTCCATGCTTTTTATTTTAGAGATCACAACAAAGGAACGGAATATTTAACCTTTCATCACGTTGCTTTTCACGAGGAGATATTTGAAAGCGGACTAGCCTCTACGCTACTCGAAATGAATAGGACTGCTGAGCTTGACCCCTTCTTTCCTTTCCACTCGACCTCTCTTTCATCGATCATATACGACCCCTATCGTAAAAGCGCCATGTTACGCTCCTTTATGTTGATCTAGATTGGTTTTTCCTGGTGAAGGTGGTGTAGTGGCAAGTGGCGCATCATCACATGGTTCGGGTTCGAATCCATGCATGAATATGAATGACTGTGAATGAATGATAGAAGAAGAGCATACTTTGAAGCTTACTGGAAGCAGGCATCTCACACGCGTATGGCCCGTTCGAATCCAGGACCGATATCCTCCCGGGCAAAACAAGGTATCCACCCCTCTGCGGTCAGTTAATTGGTACCAGACTTGTCTGGGAAGATAAAATATTTCTGACTTGAACATCGGCTGACCACCGCAAGTGATTGGATGGGCCACATTTGGAATACCGTTACCATTCGAGATGAGAGTCGAAGAAACGCAAGAACGCAACCCAAATGGTGTTCATTGGCTTCAAGACATAATGTTTCGTAATTAAGTATTATCTATTCAGGTCCTGCCACTTTCCTCTTTGTACGCACTGTTCATTGGTCTCAATCGTACTGATATGGATATCAGAACCAGAGTGTCTGGAATAACAGTTCGAAAAATAGTGAACAATTGGTTCAATCGCTATCCGGATATTCAAAAAGATCGGCGGAAGTGAGTAATGATCAGAACTCTCTGCGGCTTACCAATTTACCGTAGTCATCACCGTGACACTGTAATGCTAATATCTTATTCTCCTAGTTGTGTGCTCGGCGAGAATGTAGAGTTAGAGTTCTACAGGGTTAGCTAGAAAGTGTGAAATCTTATCGATAGCAATATTATTTAGGGCGGGTTTACTTGATCACTCGGAGAGGTGGTAAGTTTAGTGATGTCTTAGTTTTGTTGAGGTCAAATTTTGTTCGAAAGGAGACGGATGATCAATAAAAATAGGTCAGGTCAAATACAGACTGGGGTAGAGTTTATTCCATTCTCAAGCTTTTATCGCTCGTTTGCTTCCAGCTTACCATCTATCCCGGATTATAATCTCAAATGCTTCGTAATAGAAATTCCCGACTGTGATTTGGACTACAATGAGTTTTTCGCCTTCCTCAAGGTGACTTGGTGACATTATCACTCAGCTTGGTTGATTGTAGTTCACCATTGTTCCTTTAGGAGATAATTCGTGTGCCCCACTGTACCAAGGAACGTATCATAATTGGCAATCTTCCGAAAACGCTGATTCACTACATTTACAGGTTATCCAAGAGCTCTTTTTTTTTTATTGAATTACTTTACGAAAATGAAAAGAATTTATTTGTAGAATCTTTTGCAGCAACTTGTCAGACTTAAATATGGTTGGACCGGCAGTATGGGTCGAAGAGGGTATTTGCAGTGTTGAAGACGTGAAGTGGTCTAGCAGCTTATCCTGCTGTTGTGATAAGTCAGTTATTCACGCTCAAAGTAATGCTCTAGAGTCAGTTTTGTGTACACTGTCTATGATTGAAACGAAACTTTATAGTTTTTGTTCTTTGGTTCACTTTTAAAATTTCTTATCTTTTTCTGATTCGCGGTACCACAAAAAAAGCTTGTTTCAGTGATCGCGGATTTGCGAATCACAACTATTTCATGAATCGAGATTTAGCACGAGATCCAGCAGAGATGTGTGAAACTGTTCAGTTGGACTTGAGCATTTCGTGAGTAACTGTTTACTTTGCTTTTTTTATGTCCACGAATTCCGAATGAGTCGTTTATTCGTTTAACTCGAAACCATTTGTTGTAATCGTGATTTCTCTGCAGAACTGCGAGCAAAGGGGGACGGTTGCCACTAATAGAATGCCTCCCTCTGCTCTGCTTCTGCTTTTTTTCGATCCTTTCATTCGTTTATCACATCTATATTTTGAGCAAATTTCTCATCGATAGGGAAGGTGACCCGCGTGGATTCATTTTATTAAGAACTGAAAAGAGAGTGCGCCATTTTGTTCCGTTCTCCAGGCAGACTTTTTACCTTGTGTTCACATTCACCTATCCCTAATACAATGTTCATTCTTCTTACTTCCTCTTGTTTAGCATCATCGAGACCTGCTCATATTGAATAGCTTGTCATTGTCCATCACTTTAGGTAAAAATTCACTAACATGCTGTTTGCCTGAATCATTAATAACATTGGATATGGCTGCGTAATTACAGTTTTGGTCAAATATGGCCCTGGCTTTGGCTGAATCCAATCACGAAAGAACCTTCCGCAATCATCATTCTTGTGCCAGTAGTAGAGGCCTTTATCAGTCCACTCTTGCTCGTTGTGAATGTGTTCAAACCATATGTTGATTCATTTTTTGTTCAATCTTAGCCTATATAATCATTTTATATTTGAACTAATTATTCGTTACAAAATTAGCAGAATACTCCTGAAAGGATTGAAAGGTATGAGTTGTGTTGAATGAACCACTTGGACTAACTATTGTTCAGGGTTCTGCAATTCGAAGGGATGCTGCTGCCGAGAAGGTCTCTCCTTGATTTCTGGATCACGCTGAAAGCAGATAAGATTAATCGTGAAAAACACATACCTGAGGTTGTTCTCGTCGACACTACCGTTCTACGCAAACGCCGAAGAGCCGAGCCTTAGACAACATTCCTCTGGAGCGTCAACGGGTTTTCCTGAAACATTTGAAATCGATCTAAGCTCATTTCTTTTTCACTTTCGAAGTCTTAGAAGATCAAATAGAATATATGTTTAGGTCATTCAGATACGGTTATGTACATAATAATAATCCTCATTTTGCTTATGGGTACAGTAGCTTTAGGCCTTTACGTGTAACGCAGTTATTTTTTTTTAAATCACATTTGTGAAGAAGTATATTGGTGGCTTACTTAAAGTATTTTTCACCTCACGCCTATACTTGAAGAAAGTCAGTCAAGTTATGCAGGAGAAAGTTCGGTAATGGCTGTAGCTTATTAGTTTTTGTGATATCCTCCTCATAGACTTCAGGTTCTGGACCATATTGCCCTGATCTTATTCTCAATCAAATTTGACCAATTTACGTGGTTCTTTCGAAGAAATAAATTGTTTGCTACCTAAAGTGGAAGATTTTCTTTTTTGCGTAAAGGTTACTGGAACCTTTCATATCTAAGATTTTGATGCATGATGTAAGTCGAGTGTATGTAAGTTCGCGGACCGGGTTGGCTTGCGTTTGTCTGGCTTTCTTTTCATTTCCTATTGTTAATTTAACCATATAAGCTCCGTGACGGATCCATTGGAGCGATAATGTGGGATTGGCAAAGCTTTTTTGTGAAAATCGGTATCCCATCAAGTATATCATCTCGCTATGCTGAAATATTCAGGCAAAATAGGTACTGTAAGTTCACATTTGCTCACTTTCTATTAAGTGGAGTTTCATTTTGCATATTCNCGAAAAGGTTACTGGAACCTTTCATATCTAAGATTTTGATGCATGATGTAAGTCGAGTGTATGTAAATTCGCGGATCGGTATGGCTTGCGTTTGTCTGGGTTTCTTTTCATTTCCTATTGTTAATTTGACAATATAAGCTACGTGACGGATCCACTGAAGCCAGAATGTGGGATTGGCAAAGCTTTTTTGTGAAAATCGGTATCCCATCAAGTATATCATCTCGCTATGCCGAAATATTCAGGCAAAATAGGTACTGTAAGTTCACAATTGCTCACTTTCTATTAAGTGGAGTTTCATTTTGCATATTCTTAATTCAGAGTCTCAAAAGATATGCTTCCCGATCTTGACAAAGCTACATTAGCTGACTTGGGAGTGACAGCAGTTGGAGACCAGGTGAGCTTGACTCGATTCGTGTTTCTCTGTTGAATCAAGAAAATTTGGGTTTTATCATATCATATCAGTTGTTGCAGTGATTTCTAGAAGTTGCTTTAATGCTTGATGTTTCAGCTGGCGATCTTGAGGCATGCAAAAGATGAAACGTACGAAACAGAAATTGATTCTCCAGCAAAACTTCGCGTACACATTCCGGGACCAGGGGCTGGTGAGTTTTTCTTTAATGTTAACTTTTTGTTACTTGTAAACAATGAGACAGCATCATCCAGATGCTGATGTTAACAAGTGTATCATATATATTTAATCAACTTATACAGAACGCAATGATGGATGCGTATAAGATTACATATGAACAATTTATTGAAATTAATCGGTATACGTGTTAAATGTACACAAACTTAAGCTTAATAACGATCTCCTGTGCGAACCTCGAGCCGAACAGAGAATCCAAATGATTTCTGTGAAGGTCCTTTATTTGAATAACCCATCTTCAGTCAAGTACGGTCATCATCAGTGTGTAGTTGATTTGAGGGAACGGTGTTCAATGGTTATGCTACTCGTTATGTTTATCTGATCTTATGTTCTTTTTATGTTTACCAATCTGCTAAGCTGGCCTTGTTTTCCCCTATCCCTATGTTTTAAAAGTTTTTTTTTTCGATGAAATTATTTTAGAGAAGGCGTCAAATGGATCTTCAAGCAGTGAACAACGCAAAGGTCGACTTCCACCAGATCGACATGAGATCTATCACATCAAAATGCCAGAGGGTAATACCGCTCGTACGAAGCAAATCATGCAAAACGCAAGCATGATGCGAAAGCATGGTTTGTCACTCATATGCTTTTTACATCCCGCTTGGCTTTCTAAATGGATTTCTTGATTCATCATTGCATCACTGGACAGAAGTGCTGCGACCCCGGCCATTTCAACGGTAGTCTATCGGTACATTGTCATGGATCGGTTTTTGGTTGCCTTCTTTAATTTGTTATCTTAAAATCTGTTCCTTGAAAAGATATAGCTCTCGAGAATCCGCGCTTCACTTCATGTCCTTAATAATTGTTTACAAATGTTTCAATCAGTACGGCTTACACAATCATTGTTTAGATTTATACCATATACAGCTTGAGGGGGCTTAGGCCACTTCCATTCAAAAAGTAACTTTCTGAGCGCCCTTGAGTGTTAGGACAAACTTTTCGAGACACACTCGTTTCTATATTTGCTAAATTACCTAAAAATTTGCATTTTAAAAGTAATATGGTTTAATGTTAAGGACTGGCTGTGCGTGGTACAACCGGTGTGAGGCAGGGTGGTAGATCTGTCAGCCCAGTTGATAAAAGAAGTGCGGCTGTGATCCGAATGCGTCAGGAACGTAAGTCAAACTTGTCAGTCCTTACAAATTGTACGGTGATCGTGAATGGCTGTTGCATATCCATGGAGTAGGTAAAATCAAAACAGCTTTCTTGAAGGAAAATCGAGAAATGCTGTATAGTACACATCGCTCACACTACCACATCTTGTTAGTCCGGTACTTTTACTCAGTACTTCGAATAGCCAATAAGAAATGGCTTGAACAATGTCCTACCGTTTCTTGATGACAGCGACAACGGTACCGTGGCGTGTTTTTCGTTTTTCGTTATTTCTTTCCAGTGAATTGGGCCCTACTCGAAGGTTCTTCTATAAATGGATTCTCCTCTTCAAAATATTGTCATTGCAAAATCTTAGAATATCATCTTGTACCTTCTTTTTCTCCCCATGCTCATAGACCTGCTCCTTGTGGAGAGAGACCATGTAGGATCATTGCAGTATACTTTTTCCATGCTAGAAAAGCTTTTATCTGCGACATCGTCGATTTCTATTCCTTCATTCTGTCTGTAGTGGTGATTGTTCGAGAATTGTTTCAGTTGCTAATAGATTAGAAAAGTGGCTGAATACATCTATTACGGGTTAGGCCCCGCTCTTTCCCTTTCTGATCCCTGTATAATAGCAACCAGAAGCTGAGGTATAAGTGCAGTCAAAAAGAACATTGTTCCCTCTTTTATCTAATGAGCGCTCCTATTTGGACTTTGTTGAACTGTTTATCCGCTTTGCAGGAGAGTCACCAAGGGCGGATGATCCTATCATTACACGCTTGGGTGTTAGGGGGCTACATTCAGATGGAGCTGCTGTGAAGCCGATAAGCGGACGAGTGCAGAAGCGCAGGTGATGAAATATTTTCTCCTTTACTTTTAATATCCTATATTACTCTTTTTCTGACGTTGTTTGATTTGTTTTTCTTCTCTTCGTCGTTTAATTTTTTATTTAGTATCCAAAAAGTTGTTGGAACCTCACGCTTATATGAGATGCCTGAAATTGGTGATGATGTTGCGATAAAAGTCCAAATTCCGTCGGGCACGAGGCTGGAAAGGAGAATCGGCCAGGTGGGATAATAGCTTTATTGATAATGTGAGCTCACCATTCATACATCCTTTTTCACTTTTTTTCATTTACTATACCGGGGGCGGGTTTTTGGCACAACTGGCACACACAGCTTTTTTTTTTGCAAATTATTTCCTCTCTACCCTTCTCAGCTTGTTTATTCTACGCATATTCACTTTCAATCGAAACTAATTTTGGGCATAGCTAGGACTTTCGTTGCTAAAAAGGATTTTTTGTTTGATTTTTTATTTACCTTAGGCAAAACCACGAATGACGACGTCGATAGCGAATCGAATTTCACGAAGCAGTGGAAACGGAATACCTCGCGTGACAGTGAAATTACGTGGAAGTGCCCCTCGTGACAGAGCTGTTCTGAGAGAGGCCAGAACGCTGCGTAAGCCTGTTCATGCAAGACTTTCTACTGCTGACGGAAGAGGAAGGTCGGCTAGAGCGGCTCGACTGGCCCCGGTGAGTCTTACCTGTTGCTTCGTTCTTCCTAGTGCGAAGCAAGTATGTGGAAAAGTTAGACGAGGTTCTTTTACGGTCTGCCTTCTTCAGAAGCCTGTGCAGTACGTAGTGGATGATGATGAATTATCAGTAGAAGAGGAAGAATATGTTGATGAGGATATGGTTTGGGATAATGTGGATGAGGAAGAGGAAGAAGACGATGAGTACGAAGAGGAGATGGAGTACTTAGATGCCCGCCCAAGCGTCTACCACCGATTGTCAAGGTAATTTGTAGGTTTTCTTTTACGACATTATTACCACTTGTAATGGTAGCTTCATTAACATTCTTAGGGCTGCGCCTTATTAATGTCAATGAAATCACTTCCATTTATGGTGTAATATGAGTAAAAAGAAGACTTTGCAGTGAAGGGAAATGTTCTGCTACGGACATATGTGTATGTCTTTTGATAACTTAAATTTCTGGCGTAATCCTTAATTTTATCCATTATTTGTGAAAGAATCTGTGGGTTAGTGTTGCGTTTATTGTACTATGAGCAAAATTGTCTACTTCTTTGAACATCCTCGTTTAATTTGTTCAGTTGTTTTCCTTGTTTTTGATACGATGGCTTAACTTCAAGGTACACCGTTTGCAAATAAACAACCAAGTTGTACAGTAGGTAGTTCTCGCTTCCGCTGCCTTTTCAGGAGGGATCAATTGAGAACAACAAGGATTTGAACTTTTAAAAAGCTGAAGTAATTTGTAATTTGTAATTTTTTGTTTCGAAGGCGGCAAGTGGTACTGCTCTGGCAACCATTCGAATAACTGAGCTGATTTTGTTTTAATGGTCTCTTAGGTGACTCCGTGATTATGTGGAGTTAGGTTTATCACTGCGAGAGACGCATTCGAAATACATGAAAGCGTTCTCATATTATGTGTGTTACGCTTAGATTACTGAAGTTAGACGTATTCATGAGAATGAAGGCGGCGGATTTCTTCCTAAAACCCGTGCAATTCGTGATAGAAAACAAGCGCATGGCGTATTCCTGGGAGCTGTGGAAGTTTATTTTTTCTGGTCAGCATAAACCTCTGAAGATTCATTTACGATTGCCAAGTTCAGCTTCTAGTTATCCCCTATCTTTGAAATGTGACTCTGGGCTGGAAAACGTTTTCTCGATATCGTTATATGGAGCGAGTTCAGAACACCTTTTCATTATGGGCATTGTCCGTTATACTGTAGAACAAAGTGTTAAAGAGTAATCAGGAACCCAAAAACTTAGGACAACCGTTCCTAGGCAACCTGAATGTTTCCTCCGTGGAAGGCCCTATGTTGCTCATTATAACTGTGAGTCGTCCTTCCCGAGAGTTCTGCGGTCCAATGCGTTTTAGGCTGCTCAGAATGAGCTCAGTTCAGTAATCTTCTATGTCACCGGCGAAGAAAAAACTAGGGTGCATCCGTCATTAATTGGGATCAGACTGTTCAAGTCCTCGATTTTTGTGCGCTTAGTAGAGATACAGAATTCTAGAGGACAAGGTCTTTTGCCATTGGCTGATCCCGTTCCAGGGATGCGCCCCGCATTCGACTTCCATTCAGGATCGCGGTGGCGTATTGAATGGGTATGTGGCCTATACAATATTACGGTGAACAGCCGTTGTACAAGTTAGAGCTTCTATCTTCTCAAACGAGTTTGGTACTAATTATACGACCTTCGAGGAAAAGAACGTTTAGTTGTTCAGTCGAGTATCAATTCGGGATTCGATCATAGAACCGTGCGTGTGATGGTGCGCCTCTTCCCTCTACTTCGCCTTTAGCAAGGAGCCGGAGAGCATAAAATGACCGATTTGAGACCCTCTATTTCATCGTGGTGGTTGTAAATTGTAGTTGAACTTCTACTTACGTTTGAGACCTAACGTTGGAGTTGAGTGCTGGGCTCATAAGGAGGAAAACAAATGAAGGACCACGTCGATGTTCAGAGAGTACCAATTTCAACCGCTGCGTTTTCGTAACCATTTTCATTTCCAGACTTGAAGGGTCATATTTCACTTTTCTCTCCGCNTGGGTTGGAGAAGAAGCTGCTTGCTGGGGCAGAAAATTAGCGCAAAAGAAGTTTTGCGATGACGAATTCGCTAGACTTTTTCAAAGTTCAATCTTCGGTCTCAAAGTCCTAGGCAACAACTAGAAGGGGTGTACATGACAGAAATTGATGCCCTCTACGGAGAGTAGTCGCGGTGACATTGCAGTAAAAAGAATCGGCCTCGAACACTTCATGTAAACGATTTTTGAGCTCAAGTTTCGTGTGTGGATAAACCTCTTGAGGAACTTCTTACAAGTGCTTCTTGACTTTTGGAGTGGGAAATCAAGCCACAGAGTAGTAACCCTTGGAAAGCTGTCAGCAAATCAAGCCTGAAGCCATCAACGTCAAGTTCGACAGAAAACTTGTACTGAACTTTTGGATACTGAGTTTGACATTTTCAGATGAGAAAACGCTGATTGAACTTGACAGCTTCTATTTCCGAAGCGCTATGATGAGAATCGTTTGGAAACGAGTAAGATTAGCGGAAATGAGCTGAAAAATGATTCCATCACAGCAATTCCTCAATAGTAAAAACACCTATGACAAACTTAGCCTGTTATTTTTTGGATTCGTCCATTTTGCCCTAAACTTCATCTGAGAAAGCTAAAACTCTGTATTTTCATTACTGAGCAGCAATATACTTAATCGTGTAGTACAAATACGCATTGAAATGGTGCCAATGCTAGTGAGGATTCTACTGAAAATCGAGTGCATGGCGCATTGTCAGATTTTGCTTTTTCTCGATCGTTTTATCGGCGGTTATTTTAGTACAGGGAATTCTTTTTCTAGTTTTAATCCTTTTTGTCAACACGATTCCTGCGCTGGCTATATGACCAACTCCCATTTGACGTTTTTGTTAGCTGTATGCAATCGTCCAGGCGTAATCAAGTTTTGGTTGCTAGTGATTGCTTTATATTATGCCCATTAATTTTTTTGTCGAAAGCAGCATTAATTTCATGTCCCAAAAGGCGAGACCGAATTTTTGGTTAGACATCAACATTAGTATTTTTTAAAGGGACAGAATTTTCCGATAATTTTGGGGTAGCTAGTTTTAGAAGTGTAGTAGGAGTGATAGTTCAGGATAATTCAGAAGTGGCGGACAAAATGTGAATATTGACATATATAGAAAAATAGAAAAGTATAAAGTTCTTTGGGCGTGGATCAAACCCGTCTCAGGGGTGCGCCCACGCATTTGACTTCCATTCATAATCGTAGTCACGTATTGAATGCGTGTGTGGTATATACAATGACTTGCGGTGGCCAGCTACTGTACAAATCAGTGCTTTTATCCTTCCAGAAGAGTCTAGTTCCAATTAACCGACTCTCGAGGATGGTTGGAAGGCTTGAACGGCCGGAGCGGATTTCGACCTGGATTCGTACCGTGACTATGCTTTTGAGATTGTGCGCAGCTTGCCATTACAACACTTCCGCACAGAGAAATTCAAGGCCTCAAAACAGTAGTAAAATTTAGGGGAAGGAGGGGGATCGAGGGGAGGGGGCAGGAGTATTAGCACAAAAGTTAGTGGTTGTCTCATCGTACCTTGCTACTTCCTATGAGGATCGGAAAGTGGGCATGTTCGGTTGGGATACTGTCCGCCTAGTCGTTCACCGTGACACGTCCTCCGTCGTCCACTCGTGTTTCATTTAGCGATGATCTTGGTGATATATCTGGGGCGATTTTTTCAAGGGCTCATGAGAAAAAGGCCTGAAGGGTTCCACCGAAACTTAAAAAGATCTCACATATGTATATTAAGTGAATTCAGAATTCATGATTCATATCCAATGAGGGAGTAGGGAGAGGGAATGAAATGATGAACTGAAGGGCAGAACAGGGGTGAGAATCGAGGAATCGGCAAGTGTGTGCGTAGTCTCCTTCTCGTTTTATGGTTCAAGGACTGAACAGTTCAACTTCGTTCAACCTTTATTGGGTATGAGCCACA